ACTAAAAAAAAATAAATCTGATGATGCAGCTATGGAAGAATGCCTGTATCCCGGACTCTATAAATACTGATTTAGTAAGATCTGTCGTCTCTCACTCTTTGAAGTATGCTAGTATTATTCACAGTCCAATCATTAAAAAAAAGTAGTTCCAAGACAAGCCTGAAGCAATTACTAGTGTGAGGAAGGCACCAGGTGATTTCTCTGTACAAAGATACTCTTATTTCTCCTCAGATTGTACACACTTTGTACTGAAGGAGAAATAATATCCAATAATATGATTACATGAGTTCTAGGTTCATTGTTGAAAAACTGAATCACAATGTGGAAAAATGGAAGAAAATTATAGTTTCAGTAGAATGATATCTAATATGGGCTTTTAGGTATAATATTTAGGTTTAGATAATTCAAGTAGGATTTTGCTTTACTACTTTGACATGATTATATTTTGCTTAAGGTTTTCTTTTTCATTTTCAAGTTTCTTTGGTTATTTTTTTCTCTTTGCTTTTGCTTTTAGGTAATTTATTATAGACTTATTTTATTTCTCTTCAAGATAGACAGATAGATGATAGACAGACAGACAGACAGACTTTCTTTTTTAAATTTATATAGGTTTTTATACCTTAATAATATAGTCGTATAGCTACACTGATATTTATAGAACATCACAGATAACTGTTTTGAAAAAGAAATGTTAACTGTAATGTGTTTTAAGTTCAAATAAAATTAAATTAATGAACTAGATAGTAAATATTGGAGAGTTCATCAATAGCAGAGTGGACAAAGATCACCATAGGTTGGAATTTGACGTTGTTAGAGTTGGAATCAAATAGGCAATCCTTTTTCTCTTTCTCTTTTGGCACCGGTTGGAATCAGGAAGCGGAAGCCCTGAGAAGGCTCTCAAAAATTAGTAGGCATTTATGACACAACAGAAACCTGAGAACCTTCTGCAGGCAGTGGAAAATGCAGTAATTTCTCAAAGGGAGCCATCAGACAGGTTTTGGGTCATGACAGAAGCTTGAAGGAAGACAAGGGGGCATAACACCTTGATCCCAAAGAGAAACTGCAAACGAGTAGAACAGTTGTACCAAGACTATTTGTAAATTCCCAAAATGTTAATAAATGTTTGCTGCATGACCTCTACAAAGGCATAGAAAAAAAAAGAAAAAAGTTTAGGTTGTCCTCATCTGACACTAGCACTTTATGCAATGACCACAGGGTTGAAGGCCATGACTGGATGGAGTGAGACAATAGGGAATCCTTATGAACAGCCTTAAGGAATTTTGAAAGTGCTAAGAGAAAGGAAGAAAAGAAAGAGAACAATGAAGCAGGAGAAATAAATAAACCTGGTAAAGCAAAATGACTATCAAGTCAAGGATGATATACTAATATTGTGCCTATGAAAAAGAAACTAAGAATGAGGTCTAGTTGCATAGTAGCCATGGGGGCAAAAATCAATTCTAGAACACCTAGAACTTCTGAACTGAACAAGCATATAACTGAGGCATGTGAAATACAGAAAATACATTGAAGACCTTTATTTCTGTTAATGGAAAAATCAAAGTTTGGCTCTGCTTCCAGATATAGCCCTAGCAAACTAGATAGGCTCTGAGTTGTAAACAAATAGGAAACATAAAAAGACTTGGCACGTAAAATAAGCAAGGATCCTCCAGTAAATTGTTCCTTGCTTTCCTTGTAAAGTACATAATGTCAAATCGTTCTTCTGGCCACACATCTGGCTGTAATTTAATGTTCCATTTGCCAACTTGGCTGATTTAGTCACATTTATCAAAGATAAAAATAGATCCGCAAATGGGTAACCCGCATGTGAGGTTACTCAGAACAAACTAGCTGTCCAAAGCCTCTATTTTCTCATTCCCCAATCTTGGCTTTCGTGATTAAGTGCTTTCACGATTAAAGGCTTGTGACAGCCATGCTGCCACATTTGTGAAAATGACTCCATTCACTGGGAATCATAAATCCCAGAAATCTATTACTCTTTGCAACAAAATGATAAACATACTTCAGATGTCATCGCATTAGGTTCCCAAGCAGTAGAACTCATTATTCTTTGCTGCAAAAGCTAAGATGAAGACCAAACACATCTTTATATGTATTTTCAAACTAAAAATTGCATTTGATAAAAGACAGGACCTCTTGACTGGGGCTCAGATGTTGTTCCTCTGAAAAAGACTAGGGCAGTGGTGGCAAACCTATGGCACGGGTGCCAGAGGCGGCATTCAGAGCCCTCTCTGTGGGCACGCGTGCTGTCGCCCCAGTCCTAGGCCTTCAGCTGGGTTTTATAAAACCTTTTCGCTTTAGGCCTCCGCCGCAGTGCGCAAAAAAAAAAAAGTTCAATCAGTCAATTTCAACTTCTTGTGGGAAAAAAAAAGATCTTGCAAAGTTGGAATTGATTGAACTTTTTAGTCCCACCCAGTCTGTCGTTAGCACCGCAGCCACGCCCACCCAATGGGCCACACCCACCCAATGGGCCACACCCACCCGGCACTCAACGATGCATAAGTGGGTTTTGGGTTGCAGTTTGGGCACTCAGTCTCTAAAAGGTTTGCCATCACTGGACTAGGGCAATTCCACATTAATTGGTATGATTAGCAAGACAGATTCTGTTTCTTCCCCTGGTTGCTACTGGCAATCCAAGTAAATTCTCAGCAACTATTGGTGACTCTCTCTATAATAAGCAGACCCTTCTAATTTCCATACTGTTCATTATAGCTCACAAGTCCCTTCTGGTTGTCTTAATTTTACAGATGCTAATATATTAGTCCTAATTGGAGTCATGATCTGGGCCCACCATCTCTCAGGCATATATTCTAATTTTGGATAGCCAAAATTAGATATAGAAGATAATTTTTTTCTATATCCAGAGAAGTTTAAAATATAATTTCCTTGACTTTTATTAAACCGGAAGGAATGGAGACCTTCAAAACTTTGCAGTGAATATACCAAGCCTATTTTAAGCAGCTGGAAACCTGTTAAATAAGAACTTATATCTGAACAAGGCCAGCTGGGTTTCTTTATAAAATGCTGCCCTTTCTCCTGTTCCCTGAGATAAGGTGTAGACTGAACCAATGGAAAGTTACCATGACAACACACAGCATCATTTTAAGTATTACAGACTCACAGCAAGATAATCAGCACAGTCAAGAACTGTATTTATGATTCTGCTTTGATAGCAAATGTAAAGCCCCAACATTCACATGGATGCTTTGATTCTAGCCAAAATCAAATAACAGCCTTTACACTCTTAATTTCAATCTAAACTCCCTTTATTAAACTGCTGTCTTTCCTCCAATTATTCTGACATTGTTTCTCAGATACTTTCTGGGCTTCTCTTTGTGGTTTGCACAAACCTTTCCCATCCTGGCACTTTCTACCTGTGTTAAATCCAAAGATAATTTGGTTGAGAATTCTGAGAACTGTAATCCCAGCATGTGTGGAAGATCCTGGATTGAGGAAGATGGCTTACATCCACTTGACAAAAAACATCCTAGAGAGCTTTTTCAATAACTGCAATTAGACAATTTTAAACAGCTATATTGGGGTCTTATGGGATTGGAACATTCTCTTTAAGGCTATCAGTATTACTCCCATTATGAGGCATGAACCATTTTTCCTGTCTTTCTTCTTTCCTTGCTAATCTTGATTAAAAATAATACAGCTTGTACAAATCTCATTTTATCACCATTGTGATTACATTAATAAAATAGACTTTGCTTCTGTTGTTTGACTGCTGACTACACTTAAGAAGCATTGAGCACAAAATGGATAAAACAAGCCTCTATAATGATATCTTTTCATCATCAAGTATCACCCACTACTAAATACCTTTTAAAAATCAGAAATGAAGACACTGTTGTTAGCTAGTCAATTTCAAGGCCTTGGCGTACTCAGGCCAGCCCATTTCCTTTGACCATTGCCACAACCTGTCACTCACTACTGTAGAGGCAGTCTTAATTATTTTGGTGGCTACTAATTATGACGGTTACATCCTTTAAAAAGTATCAGAAACAAGATGATTGGGCCACCTTAATGAGAAATCCAAGAAAAACAGAGCACTTGAGAACAGTTCTAGGAAGAGAACACTGAATTAGGTAAACTGATCTGATCCAGCACAATAACAGGGTTGTTATTGTTATTGTTAAAAGCTTCACATTTGGATAATGATGTTATATTCTTATTAAAAATAAGTGGTTTCGGATTTGTTATCAAAAATGTTGCAGAACGATAGCAAGCTTTTTGTTAGACAATCTTCTTTTAAATATGTTTGTTTTTTAAGATGGAAACAACAGAAAAGTACATTTAAAATTAAAGGAAACTTCTGATTATTAATCACTGTATATATATAATTTTCAATAACCCTTAAATAATAGATATGTCATACAATCAGATCTGTTTTTTAGCTTTTTCTTTTCTTTGCAACTTCATTTTCAAACAGAGACGCTTGAAAAATTCAGTCTTTGAATTTCTTAATAAATTGACTTGATCTGCAGCTCCTTGATTAGAGATATGAAAAGAATAGCTTGTGCATTTTCCAAATATTTTGAAATAGTTTTAGTTTAAAATCTATAGCAAAATATATGTAAAAGTACATTTTCAAATTAAACATGTTTTAAGTGGGACTTTGGAAATTTATCCCAAAAACATATTTGAGAGCCAATACAATTTCAGTTGCATTATTCAGGCAATTTTGATGCACATTAAGACTAAAATTGCAATTTAATGTGGACACAGAATTGAATGAAAGTACATAAGCTAAACGCATATACAAATACACATGTTTAGTCTGAAATGATCTAGTTTGTTATTTTAAGTTACTACTATTTTTAATGACTATTTCTGCAAAAAGCTTAGGATGGCATAAGTAGAAATGTCCACTTTATCCTCATAGCTTTTAAAGTCATTTCATGCATATTTTAATACTGTAATCTCAACTGCTACTAATCTCTAGATACTCTTTTTGCTTAATATTGTAGACCACCTACCTTGACCCCAAGAATGGAGTTCTGATGATAAAAGCAACAGAGAGATGCCATGAACGTCTGAAAAGCATTGCAGTCCTTAGGCATTTTTTTTCTTTTGTCCCATTGACCAAAACCTCCCATGGAGAACAAAATGGATGGTCCCTCCCAGCTACGTCCAAGAGCTCTTACTAAGCTCTTGTGCTGAGTTGTTGTCCACTGGGGCTCCTACACTCCCCACCTCATCCTTTCATTCCAGGCTGAAAACTGATCCTGTCGTCTGTGCCCGTTCTCACTTCCATCAACCATGGGATCAGTGACATCAGGGGACTTTATTCAGCCTGCCAATGAAACTTTAAACCCTTGGAGGACGTTGCTTTCTCTCTCCCTCTCTCTCTCTCTTTTCCCTATTTTGGAGTCTCCCAGATTACGACATAAGCGGGCAACAAAAAACTCCGCACCTTTTCTTTAGCAACAAAATCTGTGGTCCCAGGAAGATTTTCTAAGTCTAGCTGTTCCTCAGCAGATACACACCTAAATGTCCACGATGAGATCAGTAATGCTGCTAGATACACAAGAAATAAGGGGAAGGGACAGTTGTCTAGAACATGGCTCCGTTATTCTTCACAATCAAACAGGTTGTTGTATCTTGCAAGCAGGTAACCAAAGGGGTGGGGTGGAGTAGGGTGGGAGACAAGACTATTTGTTTTAAATTAGAAAGCTTTCCTGCAGCCATATCAGAGAGAAGGAAGTAACATCACAAAGGGCCTCTTTAGCGTCACTGTAATAAATGCAGCCTTCTGCTCTTTTAATTAAAAGATCAGCCACTGATTTTCCAAACTCAGCCAGGGCAGTCTTCTGGAAAGTGACACTTAAGGATGCATGCCCTGAACAACTTGAGGTCTTGACTTCACTACCCAAAAGAGCTACAGGAGTTTTGCCCTGTATTTTGAGGTTTGCAGGCTTCAGACGTTGAAAGGAAAGCATGTCCCTTTGAAATCTAAGATTAAAATAAACTTTGTAATAAAATGTCAAGCAGGGCATGTCCACTGCAATTGCTTTGCAGAGAAAAGCTCTAAATAAAGCTATAGCAGGAGTGTGTTTTCAACCTTTAATAACAGGCTGTCCTTTAATAACAAGATGTCCTTCACACTGACTGCAGTGTGTCAAAATCAGAGAACAGAATCCAGTAGAAAAGGATTTGCAGAGCAAATGACTCCAGTAAAGCACAACCGCCAACATCAGAGCTGAATGTGTGTGCCTATCATCTCAAAGAAAACACCTTTCAAATCATACAATCAGATTTTAGTTTCAGCAAAATCCATCCCCTAACTCTAATGTCACATTGCCTAGTACAGTGGTGGCGAACCTATGGCATGGGTGCCAGAGGCGGCACTCAGAGTCCTCTCTATGTGCACGCGCGCCGTCACCCCAGTCCTAGGCCTTCAGCTGGGTTTTATAAACCCTTTTCGCTTTAGGCCTCCGCCGCCATGTGCAAAAAAAAAAGTTCAATCAGTCAATTTCAACTTCTCGCAGGGAAAAAAAAGATCTTGCAAAGTTGGAATTGATTGATTGAACTTTTTAGTCCCACCCAGTCTGCCATTACCACTGCAGCCACGCCCACCCAATGGGCCACACCCACCCAATTGGCCACGCCCAGCCAATGGGCAACACCCACCCGGCACTCGACGATGCATAAGTAGGTTTTGGGTTGCAGTTTGGGCACTCAGTCTCTAAAAGGTTCGCCATCACTGGCCTAGTATCTTACCTTTAATTAAGGCCAGCTTTGGAGAAATACTCTTAGAAAAATCTAAGAAATCCAGTACTGTAATCCAAAATCTAAATCCAATAAAGGTTTAGACTTTAGAGCAAGTCATTTGGATTCCAAAGCTACCTTTGACATGAGAAAGAAGAAAGAAATTTAGATTTTTCTGCTTACAAGACCCTTCAAGCTGGAATGCTCTCCTGTATCAAGTCCTTGCCAATAGAAAGCTAGCACAAAAAGTTCCATTATAATAATTTTCACTGCTTAGGCACACATGTTCTTGAACTTCCTTTTTCTTCAAGGCTGAAGCATGTATTTTTAATGTGAAAGTTCCATAAAACAGACAATGCTCAAAAAGATTTTTTTTAATAAATAGTTATTAGAATTTTTGACCACAAGATATTTATTATGAGATAATCACTTAAATAGCCTTAACAATGTAGTCATCCATTTATAGTCATGAGAACATCATCCATCCCATGGTTAATTTTAGATAGAGTTAGAAGTCCCTTGTGAAATAAATGAATCATAACTTGTCCATGAAGCCAATTGACAGAAATGTTTATATGAATAGCTCCTTTCTTAATAGCCTTGTGCTGTGTAGTTTTTGCCAGACTATAAATATTTTTGCTCTCTCTGCTACTTGAACGGAGAAGTGTAGCTCTAATACAAGATTTGAAAATCTAATCATGATATAAAAAGAGTTATTTGGCTTAATTACTATTCTAGTTGGGTAAAAGTTTATAATAATCCAATTGTTGATTTTGTTAGCTTGCCTTGGGTATTTTTTAAAGGAAAATATAACTGTAACAAAGCAACAGCCCAACGTTTCTAGTTTCACAGACAAATATTTGGAAAAGAACACTGAGGTACAAATGAGGCCTTCTTTTTTGGTTCCACAAAGCCTTTAAATCTGTCTTTGGTGTCAGGTCTGGAGTTAATAGATTGAGAGGAGGCTGCCATGCCTAGTTTTAAACTTGTTTGTAGTCTGGGCTGTCTTACTTTATTTTGTTTATGTTTTTAATTGTTTTACTTATTATAGTCTGTAAGCCGCTGGACTGGCGACTTATATTTAATCAAATTAATAACTTTGTTCTTTAACTGCAATGTCACGTCAGAAGCAATTGCTTAATTTCACTTATCCTTGTAGTAAACTAGGATAGTCTCTATGGTCCCAGTGGTGTTGCCCTTTTAGAAAGCCATAAAGATCTAGCTTATTTAACAGTGCCTGAGATAGGGCAATTTATGACCTCCCTCATGGCTGTGCTTGTATTACTATTTCTCAATATGGGTGGTTTTGATTTGCTGGTTATATTTAGCCCGTTTAAAATTATTTTATCATAATTGCTTTGGTGAATAAGGCAATTAATAAATTGGTTAGCTAAATAAGAATATAAACTCCTAGAATTCTCAGCAATGAACCAGCTGCCTGGAAAACACTGGAGCTGAAGTCTGGCTCTCTGGGGAATGCTAGGCAGGAAAAGGCTAATGAACTAAAGACGCATCTCTTCATATGCAATTTATTTTCGGAGGCCCAAATGAAGGTAGGAAGATGGATGCATGGGAAAGGATCTTCTAAATGATG